CCAGAAGGTAAAGTCAGATCGTAAGTCCCGATGGCTAATGCAACAACCTTTGCTCCATTCCCAACGCGGAGATCTACTTCTCCTTTTGCCAACTGCCTACTTCCTCGCAACCCTTGCACATATATATATATATATTGTTCTACTATTTGGCAAAACCAATCATTTCTCATCTAACCTCTTTTCGTATAAGGAAATAGATGGGCACCATTTATGAGTTCTTACCCTATAATGGCAAATTTAGAAAATAGCTGTGCCAAAACCCATTTCTTTCTTTCGTCTGTTGTCTTTTTCATAGTTGTATAACGCCCAAAAATAGGGCAAAAATAGTTAAAATTAAAGGTGGCTATTAAAAATAGGTTTTAAGAAAAACAAAGACCTTTCCTTGTTCCAAGGAACAGGGTGGGTTTTTTTTGTTTCATCATCCCATTTTTTTTTGTCGGGAAAAGGTTACTTTTTTCTCCGACAGAAAAGAAACATTTTGAGACTGAAACCAAAAAGTCGCCGCTAAGAGATATGGCGGAGGGGCAATCCCCCGAGAACTCACCACCGGCGTCTCCGCCACCATCTCCACCTTCACCCCCCGATCAAGACTCATCTCCTCCGCCGTCTCCTCCCCCTTCTCCTCCGTCTTCACCTCCGCCGGAAAATTCCTCCGGTGGGTCCCCCTCCTCCCCCCCTCCGCCGCAAAACTCTTCCTCCGACTCCCCGTCTCCTCCTCCTCCTCCGCAGGACTCAAATGGCGACAATAACAACAACAACAATGGAGACGACGACAACAACAATAACAATGGAGGCAATAAAGACGACAACAACAACAATAATGGAAATAACAACAACAATGGAGGCAACAAAGACAACAACAACAATGGAGGTAACAACAACAACAATGGTAACAAGAACAACAATGGCAACAATGTTTCGCCTCCGCCTCCATCGAGGAGTTCAGAACGTGGCTCTAACTCGCCGTCGAGATCGTTGGCTCCTCCGAGAAGCAGCGGAGGCTCGAGCTCGTCGGACAACAACAATGGATTGGAAATGCCTCAGATCATAGGGATTGTTGCAGGAGCTGGATTGTTGCTCCTTGTCATGATTTTGTTATGCGTTTGCTGTTGCCGCAAGAAGAAGAAGAAGTCGAAGCTCGATCAGATGCCCTACTATGGGAGCAATGCTTACGGTGGCGGCAAAGGTATGGAGATTATTAAACCTCCATGGATTCCATTGATATATGCTATTTCTGCACCAATTTTAGAGCCCTAAAGTATTTTTTAAACTATATAATACATCAAAATATCAGTATCAAGATTTCTAGTTGCAAAAGGAGAAGTGCTCGTAAATAGTATGAGGCACAAAAAATATATATAAATCTTTCTTGTCTCCCAAGAAAGGTTAGAGGGACTCTATTTTGCAATTCTGCAACTTGCGCGTTTATATTGTTTTTTTTTTTCTTTTTTATGATTCTTGCTATACTTAAAATCGGATTTGAACTTTGATTTTTTTTTTTTTATATAACAAGTTGAAATAAAACGAATAAAGCATATAAAGAACACAATTTCACGATTTGTCAATCAATTCCTATATATTATGCTCTAGACAAAAGCTCAAAACGATTTCTCGTATTCCAAGAAACCGGGAAGCCCCCCGGGTTCTTCAACTCTCGAAAACTGCAAATTTAGATCTGTTTATTCATGTATCCGATTCTTTATTCAATCGCAATCTCATTCCGAACCTTGGTTATATTGAAAGGTTCTTATGAACTCCCGATATTAACTCATATGCACCACAAAATCTCATAATCCCTCACATTTCTTGGTTTTTCTTTTAGCCGGTGGTGATCAATATTACAGTGGCGTTTCGCCACAACAACAACAACAACAATATTACAACAACAACCAAAATGACCACATAGTGAACTTGCCTCCACCTCCTGGATCAATGGGAACAAACTGGGCAAACCCTAAACCGCCTGGACAATGGCCTCAGATCTCGTCCTCTCCTCAAAACCCGGTTTCTGGCATGAACCATAGCAGCGACATGAGTTCCAACTACTCAGGACCGCATGGTCCTTCTCTTCCACCTCCTCACCCTTCAGTCGCTCTCGGTTTCAACAAGAGCACCTTCACCTATGACGAGCTGGCGGCTGCAACTCAAGGTTTCTCGCAAGATCGGTTGTTAGGGCAAGGCGGGTTCGGGTACGTCCACAAGGGTATTCTACCAAATGGGAAAGAAATCGCGGTGAAGAGTCTCAAAGCGGGGAGTGGACAAGGAGAACGAGAGTTTCAGGCGGAAGTCGAGATTATCAGTCGTGTTCACCATCGACATCTCGTGTCTCTTGTCGGGTATTGCATCGCAGGTGGTCAGAGGATGTTGGTTTATGAGTTTCTTCCTAACAACACGCTTGAGTTCCACCTCCATGGTAATGTTTGCTTCACGATCATCTTGTGTTTGTTGCAGAGTTGTAATAACTCATTTTGGGTTTTGTGTGAATTCAAATGGGTTTTATTAGGAAAAAGTGGTAATGTCATGGATTGGCCTACAAGACTCAAGATTGCTTTAGGATCAGCTAAAGGGCTTGCTTACTTGCATGAAGATTGTGAGTTGTCTAAATATTATTTTTTCTTGTGATCTTCTCCAAATCCAATCTTTAAAAGTATTTACATTTTCATGTTTGTGAAACCGTGAAGGCCATCCTAAGATTATCCACAGAGATATCAAAGGAGCAAACATTCTTCTCGACTTTAACTTCGACGCTAAGGTATGATCAGATATCGATGAAAATGATCGTGGGTTTCGCCCTTTTTTCTTATTTGAATTGACATTCTTGACATCATTCTAAATTCGCAGGTTGCTGATTTTGGGCTGGCTAAGCTATCTCAAGACAATTACACGCACGTTTCCACCCGTGTCATGGGAACTTTCGGGTAAGAAAATTCGAAAAATTTAAAATATATACGGTGAACTCCCAAGATATAGTTCTTTTGTGAAACAACTTGAAGATTCTAATGAAAGGATAATGTTTGAAAAACGATAGGTACTTAGCTCCCGAATACGCGTCGAGCGGAAAACTGACAGATAAATCAGACGTCTTCTCCTTTGGTGTTATGCTACTAGAGCTTGTAACCGGTCGAAGGCCCGTTGATCTCACTGGTGAAATGGAAGATAGCTTGGTCGACTGGGTGAGTAATATCTAAAACATTCATAGATTTGCATAAAATACGTCGTATAAAAACACTACCATTCCACATTGTGATTTGGGTTTGTCGTTACATATGGAATTGCAGGCAAGACCGTTGTGCTTGAAAGCAGCTCAGGATGGAGAATACGGGGAATTGGTGGATCCAAGCCTCGAGAATCGTTACGCTCCGCACGAGATGGCTCGTATGGTGGCTTGTGCGGCAGCAGCCATCAGGCATTCTGCTCGGCGACGCCCAAAGATGAGCCAGGTAACTTACAACCAAAATCAACAGAAAATAGATAAACTCAAATGAAATAGAAAACACACTAATATCTAAACTCTTTACAAATTGAAACTCTTCATAATTCCCAAAACCACGACAGATTGTACGAGCGCTGGAAGGAGACGCATCGTTGGATGACCTGAACGAGGGGGTGAAGCCGGGGCAGAGCGCGATGTTTGGGTCGAGCGGAGGAGAAGGGAGCTCCGACTACGACGCCAGTTCTTACAGCGCTGACATGAGAAAGTTTCGGAAGGTCGCTCTCGAAAGCCGAGGCGACTACGCTAGCAGCGAGTACGGTGCCACCAGTGAGTACGGACTCAACCCTTCCTCCTCCAGCAGCGACGAAATGCACCATAGAGCCACCAACAAATCCATGACCCCTCCCCCTCCCCCTCCTAACCGAGATTTCTAATTTCTTTTCTTTGAGAATATATACATATTAAAAAAATAAAATAAAAAATTGTATTTCCTTATTTTTCTCATTCACTTGCTATATATGGTTCATTGTATTTTTTTTTTTTGCTTTTACATGCTGGATTTGTTGACGTGGAATTTGCGGTCCTTGTTGAGATTTGAATGTTGGTGTTTACTTTTGGTGCGTGCTTTTGGTATTTGTTTGTGTATCAATGCTGAGTTATTATCACTTGTAGTTTATGTTTGTAATTCAACAAGTAATATAACATAAAAACACGAGTTACATGGAAACAAATAAAAATGTTTATATGCATATACAAGGTTGGATGGCTCAATGGGTAAATATGGGACAAAGTTTCTTACCAATCCAAATGTTGAATATAATAATTTCATTTAAGAATATTAACTACATCCATAAATTGTATTTGACTGTTGTAATCTAGTCCTTCTACATCTGTTTCTCATTGGGCTTTTGTTTGTTCTCTTCTTCATTGAAAGACCTTTAGCTTTTTCTCTCTCTCTCTAGTGTTTAATCCTCACTCCAAATCATCTTCTCTATCCATTTCCCTCTCCATGGCGATTTCTTCTCACGTCGCTCCTTTCTCCACCTCTTTGGGGTTTCCTCTGTTCCTATCCCTCTTCTGCTTCATATTCTCTCTGCCTCTGTGCCTCCATTTCCAGATGAGCGGGCTCGTGATATCATCAACACTACTACAGTCGAGTACGATACTGAGCACCATCACTATGCCCACGTTAATAGCACGGCAAAAAAACATGTCAATTTCAACGGATAAATCCGTTGAAAATGACCTAAAATCCGTTGAAATTATATAATTTCTACGGATAAATTATGTTGCAATATCATCGTTGAAAAAATTATTCCGTTGAAAGCCGTTGAAAATATCAACGGAATTTCAACGGAATTATCCGTTGAATTATTTCAACGGAATTTTCAACCGAAATCCGTTGATATTTTTCAACGGAATTTTCAACCGAAATTCGTTGATAATTTCAACGGCTTTTGCAACCGAAATCCGTTGAAAATTTCACGAAAATTTTAAAACGTATTCTCGATCCCGAACTCATACTGCCTCGACTCCGACTTGACCCCGACCCCTATTCCGAATCCGATTCAATCTGAACTTTGTCTCTGTATCTAATCCGACTTCGGAAACTCTAAAATTGGAACTCGAAATCCGCTTTCCAATAGGTCATCCATCCTTCCACTGCTTCAGCACGAGCACGTTTAACTGCACAATTGTGATTAACACACTTCTAACTGCTCCAAATTAAATTTCTGATATAACAGAACATTAATACATATACATATACAAATGTTAATATGTATAAATACTTAAACACATATATACACTTATACATATGTGTATACAAGTATAAACATTTATATATATACGTATAAATAATTATATATAAATACACATAAAAATATTTATACGTAAATATATGTATAAATGTTTGTTCGTATATATATAATATACATAGTATCTAACATATCACTATAGTATAAAATACATATATATACAATATATACATATTTATATGTATCAATATTTATATTTATATATATATACATGTTTAAATGTATACATAAAATATTGTTTATATATAAAAATATATATATATCCAATCGATTTTCCAAACAAAATCCGTTGAAAAGTTCAACCGATTTTTTAACCAAAATTCTTCGAAATTTCGTAAATAATTTCAACCGATATCCGTTGAAATTCCGTTGAAAATTTCAACCGATTTTTTCAACCGAAACCCGTTGAAATTTGCAACGGATTTCCGTTGAAATATCATTTTTCAACCAATATAAGTTGAAATTCAGTTGAAAATTTCAACCGATTTTTTCAACCGAAATTCATTGAAAATTGCAACAGATTTCCGTTGAAATATCATTTTTCAACCAATATCCGTTGAAAATTACAACCGATTTTTTCAACCGAAATCCGTTGAATTTTTCAACCGAAATCCGTTGGAATTTCGTTGAAATGTTTCAACGATATTTTCAACGGCAATCCGTTGAAATTATCAACGAAATTTTAACAGATTTTATCGTTGAAATGCCGTTCAAACTCGTTGAAAATCGCATGTTTTTTGGTAGTGGTTGATTGCCCTGGACACACCGATTACGTCAAGAAAATGATCACTGATGATACGCAAATGGACTGAGATATCCTCGTCGTCTCCTGCGTCGACAACCAGGTGTCGCAAACAAAGGAGCATATTCTTCTTGCGAACATGGTTGTCTTCCTCAGCAAGGAGCACTAGGCTGACGACAATACTTGACCTCTTCAAATGATTTGTTCCGTTATTACTAGTTTTAATTTTCATATTTTGTTTTTGTAATTTTGTGGTTGTCATGATGGAAGTTCACCATTTCTGTCTTGCGGAGGCGCATTAGAATGTAACTACGGTTACATGTTAGTTTGGTTAGGGTTTACAGATTTTTTATTTCTCTTTTGTGTATTTAAACAATTCTCCTTGATCAATGAAGATGAGAAAAATATTTTCACAAAATTCTCTCATGTTTTGAAACCTCAAAATCGTGGACCAAAAATCACCTTTTTACATCCACCCTTCTAATAATCCTGTCTTCTTTTCACCACCCATCCATCATTGAGTGAAAATGAAGAAATTATTTCACATGGAAGAATTTCTTAAATGCCCTCTGATACGTGTGTACCGAGTCTAAAATCTATAACTCGATTCACAACTCACCGCAAGGATATGGATCGTCATAACACGGGGTCGAACACGAGGACCGGTTGCTAAATCCAAATCTAAATCGAAAATAGATCAAAGCAAGCAAGCACGTGATTATGGAAGTATATAGAATCTATGGAAAACGGAATGAGAAAGTAATGAAAACGAGTAACCTATCAAACAAGCGTGATTACGGGTGTCGGGATCGTATCCGCGTGTATGGATATATGCTAAGCATGCGAGAATAACGATTATGACTTGTATTCGGGAATCATCAAGCAACAAAGATAGAGAATTCACCTCTCGGTCTACTAACTCCCTACCTACAGAGTAACTCGTCAATTTCTCGATCTATTCAAGTTAACCCTAGGTGCATAAAGAATGCTATCATCAACCCTAGATCGATTAAGCCATATCTCTATGTGAATAATATGATCTATCCTATTGATTTTGATCCGAAACCAAACCTATATCTCTATATAGTTTAGAATCTAAGATAATTGACCAAGGGATTAGCAAACATCAATCCAATAAAAGCGCAAATCAATAGAACCAAAACAAATCAAAACCGAAATCCAAGTTAGGGTTCAAACATACCCAAAACACATACGAATCCCTAACCCATAGTCATGGATCTACTCACGCTTCATAGAAAACAATAAAAAGCTCATAAAGAAAGAAATAAAAGAGAGGAAAGAAACTCTCATGCAGATGTGTAGTCTCCACGGTCGAATCTTCCTTCTTCTTCCCGAAATCCCGTGAACTTCTATTCTTCTCTCACCAAAAGCTCTCCAAAAATCTGTATCTAAGTATTCTCTAAGGTTCTTTGATGTTCTAGGACGTGGCTAGGGTTTTTTAATAACCCTAGGGCAGCTCCCAAGAGTCCTATTCCCATTCTGATGCTGAAAACCGCGAAACAGGGTTTTTGACTGGATCCGGACAGATTGCAGGTTGATCCGGACCGGATCCAGATTCCTGGGGTCGAATTCTGCGTCCTTGATCTGGACCAGATCCAGTTGGATCCGGCCCTGCGCTGACAGTTTTCTGGTCTTCACGAATTCGCTCATAACTTTCTATTCTGATGTCGGATTTACACGATTTTGGTGTCTACATGAAGCTCTTGAAGTGTTCTTTCCAATGGTACAAGTCTCGTAGGATTTGGACGTCTTTAGAGAAAGTTATTGATATCGCAACATGAGTACATCATCCGGACTTCTCCTTTAACGCTCCAAATAGCTCCTTTTCGAGTCCAATCGTCTTCGAAACCTGTAATCTTCAAAACTAAAGCACAACCGGATTTTGTGTCCTAACACGCCTAGAATGCCTATGAATGCATGTGATTATCCTATAAAACCTAGACAAACTCTCATCAAAATATAGAGAAGAATATGAGTTATGAAATCCCCCCAGACTTAAACTTTTACTCGTCTTCGAGTAAAGAACGAATGAATAAAATCTGCAAGACAGGGAATGACGAACATCAAATAGCATCATCGTGAGACTCAAAAACAAAACATCCATCGAACACTAGTTTCCCGAGAATCGTACCCAAACATGTCTACTATGATCTTCCTACCAAAGACTAATCTACCTAGCCATGAGATTTTTATTGCCACCTAGGACTTATTAGAATCTCTACAACTCACCAAGTCTATTTCCGAACCTATCCTTATCTCAACTTAGCCTTTTCGATCTTAGTTCTCTTTTCTTACCTGGATTTTTACCTTTTTGTAGATTCTTTGTATCAAACGCTAGCATCTCGGGTTTCTAGGACGTTGAAGTTGAAGGACATCGTTTTTCTCTCCTTTTTTTTTCTTCTTTTTTTTTTCTTTTCTCTTTTTTTTCGTTAAATGCGATGTCCGACCCACAACTTAGACCCGAACCATCGAACGATGCACTCATGTCCTCGAACGATTTTCGTTGACGAGATTCTGACAGCGGAGTGTCGAGGTGCTTTATTTTCCCAAGGCGTTTGTCGAACTAGATTCCGTCGACCTGCAGGACTCGGAAAAAAAAAGTTCTAAACGAAACTTATAACCTGGATATAGTCGTTTCAACTCCGTAGGTTCTAAATAACAACCCCATCCCACAAACTATATATAGAAAGTCTGGAGAACTATCAATTCGACACGGTTCAACCACGTTCTACAAAGTCACAAGATCATCTAGGTTCCAAATAGCAATCCTATCCCACAAACTTTATATAGAAAGTCTGGAGAACTATCAATTCGACACGGTTCAACCACGTTCTACAAAGTCACAAGATCATCAAGATATTCCAACTCTATCATCCCACAAATCTTCCAAATGATGCTCAAAACGGGTTGTCGAGGTATGCACGTGAACCTATATATGATCCTAAATCTATACGATCAAATGCAATCATGCAAACCTAACAAAAATCATCTATATGAAAAGAAAGAAAACGTGTAAATGCAACTAATGCAAAGTGATATGCAAAAGATAAAAA